ACATATGCTAGGCAAGCACTCTACCACTGAACTATACTGCCAGTCCTAATAATTCTATCTAGTATTGCAAAGTGTCACTAATTTTCTTGATCTTCTATCTGAAAACCTTGGTTATTCATATGGCTTGAGTCTACAAATAATGGTAACTGGATCTCCTCTCATTCAATCTTTCGTTGTATCCTCCCTGTGGAGAACACAGGCTCTAGAGACCAACTCCAGTGCACATTCAGTTCTACCACTTCCTAGCTATCAGCTCCCTGCAAGTCACCTCACTTCTTGATGCTTCAGTTTGCTCATCTGGAAAGTAGGAAGAAAGTGCCTCAAGAATTGGGAGGATTAAACATGTGAAAATTCTCAGCATTTTGGATGGCAACAAATGTTCACTACACAAATATTTACTCAATGAGGTTAAGAATGGAAAATGCCTAACCCAGGCTTAGAGGTTTAGGGAAATATTTTCAGAGGAAGTATTACTGGAGACCTTTGCACCAGCTAAAAAGAGCCAGGAGGAAGAGGCATTGGATGAAATAGTGTACTCCGTATAAGGCAGCATACCCAGATATCCAGCTATGCAAGCAAGCATGGTGTACTTAAAGGTCAGGCAGCCCTTCAACACACGGACTATGCAACTCTTTCCATACAAATATGAATTGCTCTACTAGATAATAAATTCCTGGAGATTATTATGGCTCCTTGTTTGTATCCCATCCAGCACATAGTAGAGAGTCATGTACAGAGAAAATGATCAGTATATGTCTGCTATTACATAGTAGAACTTTGTCCACTGTCAGCCTTCCTGGACTGGAAAAAAAAAAAAAAAAAACATGTCCTGGAAGCTGTGTTTATAAATTGCAGTGACTGAGAATAACATGGCTTGAATTAAGAGAACTCAGGCTTTATAAGATATATATGCCTTACTATCAAGTCAAATAAGCCACCAACAAAACCATGTCTCAAAGTTTAGAGGTCCTAGGCATACAATAAACTAGGATCTTGCTTTTCAGGAGTAAAGTCTAAAGATATAAAATACAGATTTTTTTTTTTTACTCTGATTTGGGGTTATGGTAAATTCTGAAGTGATATAATAATGCCGTTAGGGCTACATATCTGTTATCTTGCCTTCGTTTTTTAAAATATTTTTTAGTTATAGTTAGACACAATATCTTTATTTATTTTTATGTGGTGCTGAGGATGGAACCCAGTATCTCACATGTGCAGGCAGGCACTCTACCACTAAACTATAGCCCCAGCCCTATCTTGCATTCTTAAGAGAAGAGACACTAATTTATGTGCTACTAATACTTCCAGTTTTATAAAATTTCCCTTATCATTTTTGTACTATTGAAATAATTGTGGTTTTTTTTTTTTCAAAATACTTGGTAAATGGAATTAAGAAAATGAAAGGACTTCCATTTGAACTAATTTAGAGAAAATAGGTGTGCCTTGTTTCAATTTCCTTTCATTTGTTGAAGCACTTACTTTGTGATAATAAAATTATCAACTCTAAATAAAACTGGCATGCAATATTAAACAGCTCTGATTTTGTTTTCTGTGCATATTTGTTTCAGTGCTAAAAACTCTTACTCCTAATGATAAATATGAGGATTCTATCAATAGCCTGGGCCAAATTAGGCCCTCAGGAAAGTTCATTTCCCTTCCCGATCCAGACCATACAGAATATGCTGGAGAGAATTTTCTAACAGCCATGTATCACAGGTAACTCACTTTGAGTCAAGTCTAGTTAAACTCTTTTTCCTGACTTTTGTTCCACTGTGCCTCCCCTTCTCTTCTGAAAGCTTCTGAAAGCCTCATCTCCTCTCAAAAGGTGGAAATTTGAGACAGAAAGTTCTCTCTCTTCTTCAAACCTGGTTTTAAATAAAGCTACTTCCTTTCCAGCCTTTCTCCCAAATTTCTGTGGAGCACCAGGAGGTGAGACCCTTCACCATGGTAACAAGATAGTGCCAGGTGTTCGGAGAAGCTCTGAGGGCGATCTGAAGTTCACCAGTCAGGAAAAGCTTCATTGCAAAGGAGATATTGAAGCCAGGCCTTTAAGGAGGTAAGAAGAGTGGGTCATATCTGAGAAATGAACATTCTAGGCCGAAGGAAGATCAAGTTCAAAGACTTGTACACAAGAACTTGACATTATGACTGAAGAATAGAAGAGCCACCAGGGTGACTGAATTAGTGCTCTGGGAAAGACAGTGGATGAGATGATGGCTACAAATCACTTAGGGACATATTGATCACATATCAGTTATTTTTATAACAGAAATAGAAAAATAACAGAATTTGGCTTTTGCTGGAATGAGATGAAAAGACAATGGATAGTTCTGAATAAAGGGGAGGAGATAAAACCTGGTTAATGTTTTAACAAGATCACATTTTTGGCAGATTATCTCTCAAAAGTAGCTACCATACATCGATGCCTTCCCATCATGAACCTGCATGACGTGCTGTCCATTAAAAGGTGGAATCTGTGTCTTGTCCTCTTGAACAGAGGATGGTCTTCTGACTTGTTTTTCCCAAAAGAATGAGATAAACGTGGTAGTCTGTGAAATTCAACTCCCAGGCCTGAAAAGCCTGCAGTTCCCACTTTCTCTCTTATAGAAAATGAATGTTAGGCAAGGAGTCTGACAGCCATGAGAGGTTCATGCTATGAGGAAGCTCAAGCCAGCCACATGGAAAACCATGGAGGAGAACCCAGTCAACAACCAGACTTGGGATCCCATAAAAGTGAACCAAGGTCCACTGAGTCCTAACTTCTGGGACCACAGACATTGTGGAGTAACATCAAACCATCACCACTGCGTCCTGTCCACATTTTTACTCTGAGAAAATAAAATAGTTCTTATCATACACCAGTAGGTTTGGGGGTAGTTTAAAAATTAATAACTGTACCAGAAACTGATACGAAACTAGGTGGCAGGTGAACAATCTGAAGAGAATCAAGGACACTGTCACTAAGGGCTAGAAAGTCAGCAGGGAAATTGTCATTAGAGGCTGGAGAGGGAACAACTCATGTCATAGTGTGACAGGACATTGGCAGCACCGTGGCCTATAATAATAGAGAAGAAAAAAAGAATGTGCTTCTGAAAGTGACAATAGGTTTCATTCGGCGCACCATGAGTAAGTGCAGGAAGAGAAATATAACTCGGTGTTCAAGCCAAATTTAGAGGAAATAGCTCAACCCAAGATTTGCTGGCTGAGAAAATAAAACTAATTCTTGCTTTTCTAGGCAGCAAAAGATATTCAAAGAGAGAAGTAGTCATAGAAGAGAGGTCAAATCCAAGGTTTACTAAAACAATGTGCTCTCAGGTTGAAGATCATATTGTAGGCACGTAGCAAAAAGATCCTTCAGTAAGACCTTAGAAAGTTTTAAAGTGCTGCCTTAGATCTTGTCAGACTGGGCTCCTAAAAATCCTAAGGGCTTCTTCTATAGCATTCTCACTTGCAGCAAAAGTAAACAGGAGCCAGTGTTTAGAGTTTTCAGGATAGAGATAGATATAGATATAATGTTTTAGTCAGCCTTTTCACTGCTATGATTAAAAGATCTGACCAGAACAATTTTAGGGGAGGAAAAGTTTATTTGGAGGCTCACAATTTCAGAGGTCTAATCCGTATATAGCAGGCTCCATTCCTTGGGGCTAGAAGTGAGATAGAACATCATGGTGGAAGAGTGTGGCTGAGGGAAGCAGCTTATATGATGATCAGAAGCAGAGAGAGACTCCACATTTCAGATACAAAATATATATATATATATATATATATATATATATATATATATTAATTTAATTATATTTATTATTCTATCATTATATATACACATTTATATATATTTATTATATATTATTGATGTATTATATATTATATATATTTATTATATATTATATATAAAATATATAGTTTTTAATCAAATGGAGATAAACTCAAATTAAAAGGAAGTCCCCCATGTCTTAAAGAGATACGAATTTAAACACAAGAAACAATACATCAACAGCTAAACTAAAAGAAGTATAAAGATTTCTAATTCTCTAAGGGTAGAAAGCAGTCTACTCAACTCACGCAAATGTAAATTAGGCATCTAGAGAGGCCAAACAGAGGAAGGCTAATGGCTGGCCAGTCTTTAGCTTTCCAGATGTTCTAGCTGAGGTGACAGGAGAATGAAGAAGCATTTTTGGACATTTGACCCTAACAACCTAAGAAGAGTCAACTAGCTAAAGGTAGCCCAGACTGCTTAATCATGATAAATAACAAATTAATGAGGTTTTTAAGCCACTGAGTTCTCAACTGTTATTACATTCCATTTTTCTCTTATGATAGTCATTTTTAATTCACTGTCATTTAAATGAAACAATATGGCTTCTGCATTGAGGACAGGCTGGAGTCGGGCAGAGGGAAGCAAGTGTAGCACTGGCGAGGTCAATTCTTGCATTTATACTGTGAGCAATGATACTCGCTTGGGCCCAGGTGGCAGCAATGTCAGTGGTGAGAAAAGGTCAAGGGTGGGCTATATTTCAAAAGCATGGCTAAATGATTTGGTGGCAGATTCAAGTAGGTGTGAGAAAAACAGAAGTCCAAGATGACTCCATGATTGATTTATTGATTGATGATTGACTTACTGTCTATTCATTTTAAAGAATGAATCCTTATGGTTTGGATGGGAGGTATTCCCCCAAAGCTCATGTGTGAGACAATGCAACAAGGTTCAGAGGAGAAATGATTGGGTTGCGAGAGTCTTAAACAAATCAGTGAATGAGTACCTGATGGGATCAACTGGGTGGTGGCTGAAGGCAAGTAGGGTATAGCTTGAGGAAGTAGGCACTGGGGGTGTGGCTTTGGGGTATATATTTTGTATGTTGCAAAGGGAGTCTCTCTGTCTGCTTTCTGTTCATCATGTGAGCTGCTTCCCTCTGCCACACTCTTCTGTCATGATGTTCTGCCTCACTCAAGTCCAAGGAATGGAGCCTGCTGTCTGTGGATTGAGACCTCTGAAACCGTGAGCTCAACATAAACTTTTCCTCCCCTAAAATTGTTCTGACCAGATCTTTTAGTCACAGTAGTGAAAAAGCTGACTGAAGCATCAAGTAAGATGGAGAAGACAGTGGGAGAGGCAGACAGGGAGGATCTTCAGGAATCCAATGAGTATTAGACATCTAATCGAGATTCTGGAGAGACTTTGGATATGAGTCTGGAGTTCAAGGGACAGGTCATGGCTGGAGACATAAATTTATGACTCATCAGTATACAAAGGCATTAACGCCATGAGATTGATGAAATCACCAAAGTAGTGAGTATATTCATAGAGTAAAGCCCTGAGGGCAGAGCCCTCAAACTCTCCTATATTTCCACACTCGGTAAATGAGAAACGAGTCAAAGAGACTGAAATGGCTGCTGGTGAGGAAAAAGGAAAATAAAGAAAGAAGAGGGTTGGACCACCGGAGAACTCTCAGGTCCTGCTGAAAGAGCATGGGGGAAGAGAGCCAAGAACTCACCATGAGATTTAAAAACAGAGAGGTTCTTGGTGTCCTTGACAAATGGATTTCAATGCACCCGTGGGATGACCACCCGGCTGGTTCAAGACAGAGTGAGAAAAAATAAAATCTCAGGTAAAGAATATGGTGAACCTTGAAAGTTCTCCTGAAAAATGGGGGCACAACACCCAGATGGTAGGGGAAAGAAATGAGGAAAATGACACAAGGCTATTTTTTGCTCAATAGGAGGAATTATACCTTGGTGATATGGTAAGGGGAAAGACCCATTAGAGAGAGAAAAAAATGATGGAGAGAAAGAATTATTAGAGCTATAAACCCTTGACTAGATAATGAGAATGAGATCACACACCTGAATTAACTAGATGGATTTCTATCTGGTTTTCTGATCTCAAAGTTGCCTTTTTCCTTCAACAAATTCTGCCTTGAGCTAATTTTCCTAAAATACTGTCGGCATTTTATTGGTCCAGCACTGTTTTTTTGCTATGTTGCTATGCCTCTTCCCTCCTTCACATTCATGAGCTTAGCTGTCCAACTTTTGAATGATCCAACTGACTCTCACTGAATCAATACAAATCATGTATGTGACCAATCTTCTGCAAGGCACACAGATCTTTTCTTTATTTAAAATGCAAGTACAGAGTCAGACTCATATCAAAATGAATTTACAGACATTAAAAAAAATATTATAAGGGAATACAGACAGCACCAAATAAATACATGAAAGGAAGAAAGTAGTTCTGCCCGGGCAGAGGATGAGGACACAGACACTACAGATGATAAGCCCTTGGTGCAGGACCCTGGCAGGCTGGCACTGAGGGGCAAGTACGTGTAGAAGACTGCAGCAGTGTGCCTGGAGCTGAGGCTAGAAGAGGAGAGGGGGATGCAGAAGTGATCACAGCCTGGAAGAAAGTATTTCCTACTGCCAGCCAGGGAGGAGGCTCCACAGAAGTCCCACTAGGTCCTTCACCTCTGCCTACAGGCCCCGAGTACTTAGCTTTATGTGCAGTAAGCCACGGCAATCCAGATGTCAAGAGGTTAAGGCTGAACTAGATCAGAGATCTCCCAAGGGAACAAAACATGCCCCTGGGGTGTCCTGCATTTTCCCAGGGGTATGTGGGTACAGAGCACTGAAGGAATCAAATCCCATACCCACTGCTTAGTGGGACTCCCCCCGTACTATCAATGCCATGCCTGCTGGACCTGAGACAAGCAGATTTCTAGCAAGTTCTCCTTTCTTACTTCCCCTTTCTTCTTTTCCCACTTTATGAAAGACACATCCCTCCCCCATGCAGAATCTGACCCTTTGGCTTGCCTTGCCAGGGTGCCACATAAAGAAAGGAGCAACTTGAAAAACTGACGTAAGAGAGAGCTTTTAACTGAAATCAAACCAATGTTATCAATCATCTCTATATCTATCATTCACATTTCCACTATAGCTTTAGTTTTATGCCTCATCATTGCTTACAAAAAAAGGATTATTTGGTTAATTGTACATTCATAATAGGTAAAACAACATAACCAAGAAGAAATTTTAACAATAGAACCCCTTAGTTAAAAGGACTAAGATTGAATTTATAGACTTACTTTTGTTGTAGGGAAGTAAGGGAGAAAAAATGGAAAATATATTATAAAATCCATAACTGTAAAAATGTTCAATTTAAGAATAATTATTTGAAAATTTTAGAGATCATCACTAACAGTGTGCAAGGGCTGCTTCATTTCTCAAATTTCAATTTAAAAACATGTGTGTAAAATTCCCATTAAGGAAAAGTATAATTCAGTGCTATGAGAGATCTGGGCTTTCTCTGGGCATTTTTGTATGTGTCACAATGATAACTTCCTCCCCCATCAATCTTAAAATCATCATATCTTCTTCTTCTAGGACTATTTTCAGTTGCAATTCCTTCATTTGACAAATAATTTCTTTCCCCTCTGATCTTTCCCAATACCTATCAGGACTTGAAAGAATCATTAACATTTGGAGAGGACACAACCACATATTGTATCCAAACTTTTGAGTCCTTTTTAATTTAGACTATATGCAACCCTCTATCTCTGCCATGGGCTAAAACACTATAAAACAGATGTATACAAATACCTTGCCTTCAAATGTAAAATGTGTACAAATAATATTGTTGAACTGAACTGAGCTCAAAGAACCTTTTATTTACTATTTCTAATCCCAGCAATGAATAACTTTAAAAAAAAAAAAAAGAACATCTTTTAACATAAAGCTAAGTAATAAATATCATTAGATTATCCCAGTGATGATCACCATCTATTTCATGGCAAGGATACAAGCATTATAGTTTTCATTATACTGAACAACTGACTTCCAGAACCCAGAAAAGAAAACATGTGATATACAAAAAAGTATTAACATTGTAACCAAAATAAATCTCAGCAGAATGTCTTCTTAGCTATGTCCTAATCCAAGTGAAACTCTGCATACCAGTACAATTTTTTTTGTACAATGAAGGTAAAAATGCAGTTATTATTAGAAGTCCATGAGGTCATGCAGATGAAATATCATTGTGGTGCGTGAAACTTCCTTTGTGTTACTTCCAGATTCACATTGGTTTCTACTGGAATGATTCTCTTAATAACAATAATTTGTACTTCAGACTCTCTGTCAAGATTTCTGGGCTATCCCTGGTTCAATATACTCCAGAAGCAGAGTGAAAAATAGCACTTATCTGTCCCCAGATTTAACAGGTGATATGTACATGCATATATATATATATATACACACAAACTTACATATGATTACACATGCACACACACATACAGAATATACACAGTTATGCATATGTTTACATATGTATATACACTTGATGATAGTTCATTAGTGAAATACACCATCAAATTGTTATTAATTATTTAGTTAATTACATTCCAGTACTCACCACCACACATTTTCTCTCAAAGGCCCTATAGAATTTTTCCATCCAATCAATTTAAAAGACTAGCAGCAAGCATTTAAGCAATGTTCAATCTCTAAAGTCTCATGCAATTACTGTAATCACCGGGTAAGTAAATCTAAGAATGAATGTATAGCTAAAGAAAGAAGTTGGCTTCTTCCCAGCTTTTCTATCATAAGGCCTTCTGAAAAGGGGGTTTCCTGATCCCTTCATGAGTCCTGGCCCTTCTACCTGGACCGATGGATAAGTAAATAGGTGGATATAGATATATCGATCAATCCAAATTTGCCTACTGTTATTCTTTTATCAGTTAAAACTGATACGAATTGGACAAGTGTTTTCATTCAGGGAACATAAAAGATATTTCCCCAGGGAACTAAACATAGATATACTTATATGAATATTATTTGGATAAAGAGAATTGTTAAATATGTACTTATTGATGTCAATTATATAAGTGTCATACAAACATTACTTTAAAATCTACATTCTAACACTATAACATTTCCTCAAAATGAAATATGATTGTCACTGTCAAACTGTAGGAAATATTTGAGTGAGGAATATTATGTAGGAAATAATAGTATCCTTGAATAAATGCATGCTTTCTTAACCTAGTAGGTCTCAAGTATTCGATCCTGCAAATATTTCAACAAAATATTAAAATAAATTGGAAATCATAACCTAGAGCTCATATATAAATTAACATGAATTTATGTTATTATATCATAACTATTATAATTATATTTTTATCATTTTGTAATCATATTATTATCATATTTAAGTTTTTTATAGGTTTTCCACATGTGGGATAATGAGACAAAATGGGTTAAACCTATGTGAATTAGAATTCCACTTTCTAAGCCTATCCCCTTAGGAAAGTTATTTACTCTATAATTTCATAAGCTACAAAATATAGTTTGCACCACGAAAATATATCAGGATGGTTTTTAAAATGCATACTTAGGGGGCTGGCCATGTAGCTTAGTGGTAGAGGACTTGCCTACCATGCTGGATGTCCTGGTTAAATTTTCCAGCACTGCCAAAATACAAAAACCAAAACATACTTACTTAGAACAATGTTTGATACATTAGTAAGAACTCAACAGGTGTTGGCTGTTAATCCTATTATTGTCCAAAATGCAACTTGTGGATCTGTAGACAGTACTCTGTATTATCTATCACTAACTAACCTTCAGAAGAGTAGTTACACAATAAACAAAAAAAGAAAAAGAAAGAAAAGAAAACACTCAGAGAAATGGGTGGAAGGACAATCTTCTAAATTCTAAAAGTTTTGTAAACTTTTTGTATCAAAGATCCATTTTAAAAGCTGATTAGAATTATGGGGTATTCTCCTGAAGAAAATCTACATCTACACAGCATGCCACTTCTTTTACAGACTTCCTGTAACCTACCAGAGGCAGCAAACCTGAGACGGGGAAGCTCCGGATGTTAAACTCTTCTACTTCCAATAAACTTAAAACCATCTTTTTTCTCCATCCTCCAAAGCAGTTTTAAAAAATACATTCATTGACAATATTAATTCTTACTAGTACTAGTTGATGGCTTTCTGCTATACTAATTTCAGGGATTTAAACAAAAAGTATCATATTATTTTTCTTAAGCTTACCAGTAATCTGCAGGTAAATTCTAATGAGAACATCAAGTCAAACACTGGAGTTGCTCCTTTAAATTAGCAGAGAGCAATGACATCAAAATCATGGAAACACCCTACCCATCTGAGATTCTGTATCTAGGGCCAATCTAACCCTTCTTAGTCACTGCTGCAAAGCAGATCATGAGTCTGAATGAACCTCAGAAGGAGAAAAAGAAAAATATAAGGACATGACACAAAGAATCCTAATAAACCCTAAGAATTTTCTGACACTAAAACTTCAGCTTTTTCCTTACTTTAAAACCCTAAAATGACTATTGCTTTGTGTTCAGTCCTTTACATATCTTGATATTTCTTCTGTTGCACCTCCTCCCTCTACCATGTCCAATGCACTACTTTATAAGAAAATGACAGAAGTTTAAATTTTAATGTGTATTTTATGTTGATGATTTCAACAGAATGGTCCACCTTACAGCTTCTGCATAGTAAGATGTGTAATAACCATCCTGATCTATTTATTCCATAATCCTAACACAAGAGTTCAGCCAGCTCAGTTGAGTCTCATTCCATAAACTGAAAGATGAGAGTGACCACAACTGCAAGAAGTGGCCATTATCCAGTATCATAATATTACAAAATAGTTTAGAAACACCTAATGGGAAATTGCTAGTGACAGCCACTTTTGCTTCTAGTTTTAACTTGTGACTCATTCTGTTTAACAATCTACTTCATTTATAAGCATCAATGAAGAACTATTTTGCTTGACACATTAGCAAATTTTAAGTGCATAGAATCACAAAAATTTAATCCAAGTGAACTGTAAATTCTTGTAATAATGGAGCTTCAATAAAGCTTGAAAAAATTAATTAGCTATTTACTTAAAGCCTCTTGAATAAGGGTTTTATTTCAATACCATTCTCTCAAATTTCTTGTAAGTTTCTTTTTCCTTTCTTTTTTTCTTTTTCTTTCTTTCTTTTTTTCTTTTTCCTTCATTCCAAATACTGCTTTTCTGAGAGACAAGCGACTTGTGCAGATTTGGCGCGAACACAGCGCCAGGCCTGAGTGCCAAAGCAATGATCATTCCTGCATAATTCTCTCCCTAGAAGACATATCCTGATCAAAGACGAATGTAATTTGATTTTGCAAAGGTAGTGAGAGAGGCGCGCACGCATGAAGAGCAAGGGTCTTGGGGCGACAGAGAGCAAGCAGAGAGCGGCGGTACCTTTCTTAACCTTTCTATGGTGGAGTAGGTTCAGGAAGAATCAGTGCTGCGGGAGCGCGTCTTCTTGGAAACCCGCTGCGTGGCTGGGACAGCCAGACACCCTCCGCCAGCCTTGGCAGAGTAGGTGGTGCGCAGGGGCTGGGCGCTGTCACTGCTTGCCCGCCGCCGGGAACGGCAAGATTGGAGCGCACCGGGGAGACGCACGCAAGGCGCAAAGGGACGCGAAAATGCGCTCCTCCGGAAGCAGGCGTACGGGCAGGCGAACCCACGGGAGAAATAAAGGGTCAGGAGGGGAAAAACCGTCTGCACGTCGTGCAACCGAAAACTGAAGTCCCCGTTAAGGGGGCGGGGCGGCCCGGCTGCGGCTGGTGGAGGAGAATTGTGAGTTGAGCCGCAGCTGGGAGGGGCCCGGGGCGTAGGCTTTCGGGGAAAATTCCACCGCGTTTTCAAGCAACACCATCTCCATTCCCAAAGCGGAGAAGCTGAGCTCATACCTCCATGGACACCTGGATGCAGGGTGGTCTCCTTGCAGCCAGCGCCACGTACCAAGGACAGGGCTAGGGGCTTCGACGGCAGCGAGCGTGCGAGTCAGCTGTGATTTCCCCCGCCGCCTTCCAATCGGGGAGTCCCAACTCTGGCAAAAAGAAAAGTGAAAGAGAAAGAGCCAGAAGCAATGGCAAAGATAAACACCTCCAGCAGAGGTTGGGGGAGGGGCGGGTGGCAGGCGGCTCCTGGAGCCACAGGTGTAGTCTCGATCACCTGCAGGTCCTGGGGCACAGAACCTGAAGCGGGAACGGGATACTGAAGGAGCCCGGACCCGCCTTGATGCGCTACTGGCCACTGGCCTTATCTGCCTCCTGGGACACCTACAAAGAAGTCTGAATCGGTGGCGTGGAGCCCACAGGCCACAGTCACAGCTACTGCCGCCTTAGGGAAATTTATGCAGCAAAGCCTGAAGACCCTGGTGCGGTGGGCGCTCCGGGGAAAGCAAAGGGATTTCGAATTGGGATGGATAGTTACTCCAGACAAGCCAGTTTCCCCGCAGCAGAAGTAGGAAGAAGGAAGTTTCTGACTTATTAAAGGAAACTGTTGAAGACACCTGAGTGACCCATTTCTTGCAGGCAGTTGTCAGGATCCGTGAACTTTGCAGGAACTGTACCTCTCTGGAATCCCTTTTTCAGTCTAATAGGTAGTGGAGCTTAAAACATTACATGGGGGTCCCATTTGATGGAATCCTGAGATGTTTTATTGTATGTTCAAATTGGAATGATGTTTTTGAGGCTGAGTGATCTGCATGTGGATCTCAGTTAGCAGCAAAGGCAGAATGCCCAGCTCTTGGGAGAATCTGGCATGCATGTGAATCACTAAAAATCCCTGTTGGAAGGTGCTTCCCAGAACCTTTCAGAGTCAAGGCACAGAGAAAATGATAAGACTCCTTGGAGCCCTGTTGAAATTTTAACTATTTTTTGTATTAAATTAATGTGATAAAAAAGCGGGAAAATATTCAAAATGATTATTAACTGTGCATAAAATTCCACATAAAATCATTTATTGCTTTTTATGAAAAAATTTGAGTTTGTTTCCATAAACTTACCTTTCCTATATAAAGTTTTATGTTTGAAACAACTGATAGACTTTTTGGTAATAATCACTTGAAACTTTATATAGCTATAATAGCAAGTTACTGGAAATATGTAAGACCTTCTTTTACAACCTCTCTAAATTTTTTCATAGTTGAAAATTATATTTAAAGTAGTGAAAGAATCATTCTTCTCTGTCCAAGCAAGGTAATGTTGGATTTTCTTGTGATAATGCTCATGAATTTCAACTCCAATCTGCCTTTCTCATAGCAATATCAGAAAGCTCTGATTTGTAAAATGCATGCCCATCTGAAAGGCTTAGTATTCCACTGCAGAACTATACAGCAATTACAAAAGAACTGATATGTGAATGTGTGTGAAGAAGGAATAGGGATGGACAATATGCAAGGTGACCCCTGCCTCAACTTGGACCACTGCTGAATTTCTTGTGTTCCTGCCAAGTGAATTCTTCTCCCATCCCCTTTATGGGCCACACCCAACACCACCTAGCAGAGCCAGAGAACACATGGCATCCCAGATCCTGCCCCTATTGGGCTGCCCAGGTGCTCTAGAGGATGCTCCTTTCAGCTGGGGATCACTAGTCTTTTGGGGCTGTCCAGTCTGATGGCACATTTTTAACCCATTGCAGCCACCACAATGTGTTACATGTTTTGAGTAACTGGAGAGTTTTTATAACACTATGAATGGATGGGAACTTTCTTCATACTTAAAAGAACAATCTGAGTATATAAGAAAAATGAAGTTCTAGAGTTACTGATTCAACGCCTAATATATGTTCTGAAATAAGATGGTCTGAATGATATAAAGCATTCAGTCAGATTAGGGAGATAAAATAACAAAAAGAAATGGAATGAAAAGTTATTATAGCCAAAGATATGCTTTGCTTTGCTACTTGCCTCCCAAATATATGTGTCAAATTTGCTTTCTTAATTACAGACACAAAAGGGAAATTTTTGAATTATGAGTGTCTACAATTCATGAAGTTGAGTTTGTTGCATAATTTGTTTTTGTTGTATTGCACTCAAATGGAAAAGTCTAATGTATGTGTCTTGTTTGTTCAGTTGCCACAGGCTGTTTGGCAAGATATTGAGAATTATTCAAGCCAATGAACAAGTAAATTCCCCTGCATAAATTAAAAGCAAAGGCAAAGATTGATGAAATAATTTGAAGCTGCCTTACGATAAAATCATAATGTAGGAAGAAGTAAAAATTAACTAAACCTTACAGTAGCGGCCATAGTAATCTTCTGATTTCAAAGAATGAACAGTAAAACCACAGTTTAAATAATGTTTCAATATCTGATTTTTCCCCCAAAGACAATATTTGCCAATTAAATAGTTATGTTTAAAATAAATCAATCACATATGTTTTCTATAGCTTTTGGACTAAGCTAAATGCTAGGTCATAACATTTAGATTTAATGTTCAAAGTCCATGACAGACTCTTTATTTATGGTCCTCCTAAGATTAAATCACAAGCCAAGAACAAGTTGATCTGGTCTTTGGAAAGTGTGGGCTACACAAGATCCCTCAAGTTTCCATCTTGAATAAGTGTGATTGAAATGCAGCATTAAACCTCAGGGAAGCTCTCACTTCTTTTTGTTTTGATTTGTTTTGATTGTCTCAGCATTAAAGGAATACTCATGCTTTTAAAGGTGACTTAAGTTTTCAGGAACTTTAAGAGTTGTTGCATTTTTAGAGGTATAACAATGTTAGAAATTACTTCTACAGTACTTAAAGTGTGCACCTAGTACTGTGCTCAGTACAATTTCTAAAATTTTGTTATTTTTATCTCATTGTACTTATTTATGGGGCACATTATTTATGGGGCACATTCAGTACCTGTGTACAATGTAAGTACAATATATTAACTCAATTAAATCCTCACACCACTACAATGAAATATGAACGATTATTATCTCTATTTTACAAATGGAGAAACTAAGGCCTGGAGAAATTAGACAACTTGTATCAAGTCTCTGGGCAAGTGACTGCCCCAGCAAGGACTTGCACTCTGGTAATCTGGCTTGATAACAGACCTCCTCCCTCTGCTGCTTCTGAATTGATAACTATACTCCAGTGCTTCTAAACCAGAGCGTACATGAGGGAAGAAGCCCACTGACTCTCAGGTAGTGTTGTTCTGTCTGATATTTATTTGCACAGGGTAATTTTAGGCACCACCAGGGAGGAAACTCATCAGTTTCCTTGGATTGTTTCCTCTTGATCTCCTGTTTCTGTAATGAAACTGCCCTGGGGGTTGCAGGCCTACCACAGACATAGGCTATTTAAACAAAGTGACTGACAGAGGTTAGCAGAGTTTTATTACTCACAAACTTTGGACTGTTCCTAATAAACATGGGTGAATTTTTAAAACCTAATATGCCCAAATACACCAGTGGCATAGAAGGAAAATACGTTGGTCTCAAGCTGGAGATGCCTCAAAACCAATAATATACATTGAATTCTTTGTATATTTTAAATACATTGAATATTAAATGCATTGGAGGATGGAGAAGAGGTTTAGAGTCAAGAGTTAATGTGCTAACACTAAGCAGTCCTTTAATATTTATCAGTCAAAATCCAATTCAAAAAACATTAATCACCATATTTAGTTTATAATAAGAAAGTATATCATAGAGGTATACAATATGAATGATCTTGTTGACATTTATTTCAGTGACAAATTATAAAAATAAATTTTGCTTTACATCACATGCTTGTGGACACATGGCCCATACTTATCTTGAATTAGTTCTATGGTTTAAATTAACATGTTTATTTTATTTCATTTCATTTTATCTTATTAAGGTATGGCTAAGTTGTAAAGGGTGGTTGCAAACTCTTGATCCTCCTACCTCAAGCTACCGAGTGGCTTGGATAACAGGTATGTGTCACCATACGCAGCTAAATTTATGTATTTTTGGCAACGTATCATAACATTAACAATCAAAGAATGTAAGATAAAGTGGAGAACAATAATACGTCTGTGTCAACAGGTGAAGTTAAAATGATGTTGATTTTGGCCCTCTGACTGGGAAATAGTAGACCCTCAATTAGTGTTTATTGAATTTATTTTGTCAAAATTAAATTCACAGTTTTAAATGTGTGGTAAAAGCAAAATCTGAGCACCTAGGTATGTATGTATGCACATACATACATTGATACACATCTTGCATACATTTATATAGATAGATAAATAGGTATATGTGTGTGTATATAATGGCTCTGAGAAGGTTTACACATAAGGGTCCTGTAAAAGCTAGGAGACACAATGTAAGAATGTTCAGAGGTGAAACAATGGATTCATATTTTACAAATGGAGAAACTAAGGCCTGGAGAAATTAGACATAAACTAGTCCTGGTTTTCACTGATAAGATTATTTGTTACTGTCCTCATGGTTTTCAAAGACTGACTGAAATGCTGTTTGCCTTTGTGCTAATTGTTTACAAAAAGTAATGCTTTACTGTATTGTTCATTGTTGGCTTAGCATGACCCCTGCCCTATGTATGCCTTGTCACCAGCCATCAGCCACTGTAGACCTCTGGACTGCTCCAGTGTTGAATGCCCTTTCTGTCCACACCCCACCTGATAGAGAACAAGGACTTTGGGTTACTTCCCCCAACTTCACCCCTTTTCAGCAAGAAGTAGTTTGGAGATGTCATTGCCCATTTAAAAAAAATAGAAATGGAATGTAGAAATTAACAGTGGGGAAATGTAACAGTGGTCTACTTTATGCTTTGAATATAGCCCTTGCTGCTCCTCCACAGCAACTTATTTTTTAAATGCACATGTTTCTTTCTCTTCCTCTCTCCCTGCTCCTCCTTAATCTCTCCTCCACCC